TGTGTTTTTAAGGTGGTGCCACGGTGTGTGTGAAGAAAGAAGGCGCAAATCCACGTATGAAACAATGTTCGATATGTGAATGCGACAATGTCGGTATTTATATTACGGATGGAGCATTAGGCATCTATGAGGAGTGTGAAATCGCCAGAAACACGTTGGCTGGTGTATGGGTGAAGAACCGTGCGAATCCGTTCTTCAAACGGTGTCATATTCATCACGGACGAGATGTTGGTGTGTTCACGTTTGAGCATGGAATGGTTTGTGACATTTTGACAGTAATTAATATCAGCGTTTGTCATTTTTCATTATCATTTGTACTGATTTCATTTGGATTGAAAGCTTTCAAAGAAATGTGATGCAGAGAAAAGGCAACAAGGCACTCGGCTAATGAATTGAAGTGAAGAGAAAGTGTTTCAGTCGATCGCAAGAACGCAATTTTTAATAGGCTACAAAATGATATTTTAATCTTGCTTAAAGAGGCTATGTGCTAACGCTGTTGAATCGATTATTTTCTCTGTAGGGTTACTTCGAGAAATGTAATATTCATGGAAATCGTATCTCCGGGATCGAAGTGAAAAATCAAGCAAATCCGACGGTGGTTCGATGTGAAATACATCATGGTCAAACTGGTGGTATTTACGTGCACGAGAAAGGTTTGTTTATGATTTTCAAAGAAAAAGGTTCCAAGAGGATGGTCATCCAAATAATACTGTTTGTTTCCTGAGATCTTGCCCTGTTTAGTGAGAAATTGACTAGATGACGCGAAAGAACTGTCTGAGTTACTGATTTATTCCAGGACGTGGTCAGTTTATGGAGAATCGCATCTACGGGAACGCATTCGCGGGTATTTGGATAACATCACAGTCGGATCCAACAGTGCGCAAAAATGAGATTTTTAACGGCCAGCAAGGCGGTGTCTATATATTCGGTGAGGGCCGTGGTCTGATCGAGCACAACAATATCTATCATAACAATTTGGCCGGCATACAAATCCGAACTGGTTCGGATCCGATCGTTCGATTGAACAAAATCCACAGTGGACTGCACGGAGGCATTTATGTGGTTCGTTTTTTGTTTTTGTGTTGAGATGAAGATGTTTTTGGTAAAAATGTTCTTTTCTCAGATTTTAATATTTTTAGTTCATTAATAAATTTCATCAATAGTCTGTTGGTTAGATGTGCAGTAATGATTCGAGCGAAATTGTTTGATTTCGTTGTGTTTTTAGCATGAAAAGGGAAAAGGTCTAATCGAAGAGAATGAAGTGTATAGTAATGCTTTGGCTGGTATCTGGGTGACGACCGGATCATCTCCGATATTACGTAAAAATCGGATACATTCTGGAAAACAGGTTTCGTTTTCTTTTTTTGCAGTTGACTAC